CAACAAAAACACTGTAGAAGAAAGTCTCCTGTTGTGTGCGGTTCTATATGTTCCATATCAACAACAAAAACACTGTAGAAGAAAGTCTCCTGTTGTGTACGATTCTATATGTTCCACATCAACAACAAAAACACTGTAGAAGAAAGTCTCCTGTTGTGTGCGGTTCTATATGTTCCATATCAACAACAAAAACACTGTAGAAGAAAGTCTCCTGTTGTGTACGGTTCCATATGTTCCATATCAACAACAAAAACACTGTAGAAGAAAGTCTCCTGTTGTGTACGGTTCAATATGTTCCATATCAACAACAAAAACACTGTAGAAGAAAGTCTCCTGTTGTGTACGGTTCTATATGTTCCATATCAACAACAAAAACACTGTAGAAGAAAGTCTCCTGTTGTGCACGGTTCTATATGTTCCATATCAACAACAAAAACACTGTAGAAGAAAGTCTCCTGTTGTGTACGGTTCTATATGTTCCACATCAACAACAAAAACACTGTAGAAGAAAGTCTCCTGTTGTGTACGGTTCTATATGTTCCACATCAACAACAAAAACACTGTAGAAGAAAGTTTCCTCTTGTGTACGGTTCTATATGTTCCACATCAACAACAAAAACACTGTAGAAGAAAGTCTCCTGTTGTGTACGGTTCTATATGTTCCACATCAACAACAAAAACACTGTAGAAGAAAGTCTCCTGTTGTGTACGGTTCTATATGTTCCACATCAACAACAAAAACACTGTAGAAGAAAGTCTCCTGTTGTGTACGGTTCTATATATTCCACATCAACAACAAAAACACTGTAGAAGAAAGTCTCCTGTTGTGTGCGGTTCTATATGTTCCATATCAACAACAAAAACACTGTAGAAGAAAGTCTCCTGTTGTGTACGGTTCTATATGTTCCACATCAACAATAAAAACACTGTAGAAGAAAGTCTCCTGTTGTGTGCGGTTCTATATGTTCCATATTAACAAAAACACTGTAGAAGAAAGTTTCCTGTTGTGTATGGTTCTATATGTCCCATATCAACAACAAAAACACTGTAGAAGAAAGTCTCCTGTTGTGTGCGGTTCTATATGTTCTACATCAACAACAAAAACACTGTAGAAGAAAGTCTCCTGTTGTGCACGGTTCTATATGTTCCATATTAACAACAAAAACACTGTAGAAGAAAGTCTCCTGTTGTGTACGGTACTATATGTTCCATATCAACAACAAAAACACTGTAGAAGAAAGTCTCCGGTTCTATATGTTCCACATCAACAACAAAAACACTGTAGAAGAAAGTCTCCTGTTGTGTGCGGTTCTATATGTTCCATATCAACAACAAAAACACTGTAGAAGAAAGTCTCCTGTTGTGTACGGTTCTATATGTTCCACATCAACAACAAAAACACTGTAGAAGAAAGTCTCCTGTTGTGTGCGGTTCTATATGTTCCATATCAACAACAAAAACACTGTAGAAGAAAGTCTCCTGTTGTGTGCGGTTCTATATGTTCCACATCAACAACAAAAACACTGTAGAAGAAAGTCTCCTGTGGTGTACGGTTCTATATGTTCCATATCAACAACAAAAACACTGTAGAAGACAGTCTCCTGTTGTGTACGGTTCTATATGTTCCACATCAACAACAAAAACACTGTAGAAGAAAGTCTCCTGTTGTGTACGGTTCTATATGTTCCATATCAACAACAAAAACACTGTAGAAGAAAGTATCCTGTTGTGTACGGTTCTATATGTTCCACATCAACAACAAAAACACTGTAGAAGAAAGTCCCCTGTTGTGTACGGTTCTATATGTTCCATATCAACAACAAAAACACTGTAGAAGAAAGTCTCCTGTTTTGTACGGTTCAATATGTTCCATATCAACAACAAAAACACTGTAGAAGAAAGTCTCCTGTTGTGTACGGTTCTATATGTTCAATATCAACAATAAAAACACTGTAGAAGAAAGTCTCCTGTTGTGCACGGTTCTATATGTTCCACATCAACAACAAAAACACTGTAGAAGAAAGTCTCCTGTTGTGTACGGTTCTATATGTTCCATATCAACAACAAAAACACTGTAGAAGACAGTTTCCTGTTGTGTACGGTTCTATATATTCCATATCAACAACAAAAACACTGTAGAAGAAAGTCTCCTGTTGTGTACGGTTCTATATGTTCCATATCAAGAACAAAAACACTGTAGAAGACAGTTTCCTGTTGTGTACGGTTCTATATGTTCCACATCAACAACAAAAACCAATAGAAGAAAGTCTCCTGTTGTGTGCGGTTCTATATATTCCATATCAACAACAAAAACACTGTAGAAGAAAGTATCCTGTTGTGTACGGTTCTATATGTTCCATATCAACAACAAAAACATTGTAGAAGATAGTTTCCTGTTGTGTACGGTTCCATATGTCCCATATCAACAACAAAACACTGTAGAAGAAAGTCTCCTGTTGTGTACGGTTCTATATGTTCCATATCAACAACAAAAACATTGTAGATGAAAGTTTCCTGTTGTGTACGGTTCCATATGTCCCATATCAACAACAAAAACACTGTAGAAGAAAGTCTCCTGTTGTGTACGGTTCTATATGTTCCACATCAACAACAAAAACACTGTAGAAGAAAGTCTCCTGTTGTGTACGGTTCTATATGTTCCATATCAACAACAAAAACACTGTAGAAGACAGTCTCCTGTTGTGTACGGTTCTATATGTTCCACATCAACAACAAAAACACTGTAGAAGAAAGTCTCCTGCTGTGTACGGTTCTTATGTTCCATAGCAACAACAAAACACTGTAGAAGAAAGTCTCCTGTTGTGTACAGTTCTATATGTTCCACATCAACAACAAAAACACTGTAGAAGAAAGTCCCCTGTTGTGTACGGTTCTATATGTTCCATATCAACAACAAAAACACCGTAGAAGAAAGTCTCCTGTTGTGTACGGTTCTATATGTTCTACATCAAAAACAAAAACACTGTAGAAGAAAGTCACACTGACAGTACATTGACAATATATGTGATATCGCCAAAACGTTTTCCTTCATACCTGTTCCCTTACTTTTCGCCATCAGTATATATCAAGCTAATCAGTTGAGCTCCTATTACCATGCCTGTGAGGTGAGGTAAAACAGGGTTTAACGTCTCGTTTAAGGTTAAATATTTTCATACTTTAATGTTTACACTGTTTCTTTCATGCTGATTGGCTGAATGGGTAGTCACGTGCTCTGATATTTGGAGATCACACCCCTGTGAACGGACTGGAAATTAACACGATGTGAACAATTCTTTTGTGAAATTGATCGTGTGAACTTTTGCCGGAACTACTTTCCGGGGTTTCCCCGACTTATCGATCGGTGTTTACAATCATCTCGTTTTTCTATTTTCTTTTTAATCCCTGCATTTATCAGAAATTTAATTAATTTGGTATTTTTGCTTTGTCTTGTAACATTTCATCTGACTTAAAAATAAATAAATCCTGGTTCTGGTGTTTAATGTCGTCTAGCTGCTAGATAAAACAAAATGGATTGTCCTTACGATGACTTGGATATACATGTAGAATAGCTATCTTTCAATACTAGATCTAATAACGCAAGTGAAGAAAAAGAATTCTGTAAAATAACTGAGGTGAACGAAATTGATTTATTGAGCGATATTGACCTTGATGTCTTGTTTTCGGAAATGACAGGAATCTAGCACCCATGAAAACAATGTCGTACCCTGCTCAGATGTGGCCGCTGACACAGATCAAAGCGACTGCTCCTGATCAATCCCAAACTAAAACCCGATTCACTATCGTATCGGGAAAAAAATCTAACATTTCGAGAAACCATAAAACATATTATGGTAAGGAAAGAAACTTAAATATACCCTCCTCCCTCAAAACAAAACAAAAAAACAAAACAAAAAAACAAAACAAAAAAACTCGCCTACCTAGTTTTACCGATTGGTCATCGGATACGAGAAAATATCCGTAGACGGATTTAATATTCAATTTTCTGAGTTGGCCGACCTTCTCCGACCTTCTCCGTGCATTCTAGGCCGAGAAGCGGCAGCACATGAGGAATGACGGGGCACAGAAATTAAGCTGGCATCAGGTCATACAGTAGGTCCATCTCAGGTGACAAGAAACACCAGCTGGGCAAAGTATTACAGCACACACGACAAATCGTCGCAAGCTCGGAGGTTCAAGCAGTTTGACCAGCGCTTTTAAATCTTTCACACTTCAATGAACCCATCCAAACTGACGTTCAATTCTTAATTGCACTTGCATAGCGCGTGTGTGTGTTTGGTTGCTTGTAATACTCAGGTCTAATGCCGATTTCATAGTTTAACATTGATAAAACTCAGACACATATTAACTCCGAGCCGACCAGTCCTTGTTTTATCCCCTTAATGCCGAGAACCAGGCAGGGAAACAACAAGTACCATTTTAATCTTTTTTCGGTATGACGCATCTGGGGATCGATACACCGACGCACTATTCACTAGACCGCGGAGGCGGTCTCTGATAATTATGATACTTATGTTAAGAGTAGAGATTATGGTGAGATTCGCGTAGGACGTCGAGATTGCTAATAATATCAATCTTATTTTCTTGGTGAGACTCAATTATTCACAGACTGCCACCAAATAGCTGGAATATTGTTCAATGCGGCGTTAAACAACAAAAAAACCAAACAAACAAGGATGTGGTTTGGTTCACAATGAAGCCTGACCGTTAGTCAATCTTCAAGACTAATTCTCCAAAATTAAAGTAAAAACGTCCAACTCAAGTCTAGAATGATAATGCATTGTTCTAGGCTCCATTTGGATCATATTTGTTTGATTTTGTAGAAATATATTTTCAAATAAGATAACTTTATTTCTGGGACTAAATGTTGGTCCACCTGACCGTGATCGGTTCAGAAAAAACAACAACACGGAAGAAATCTCAACATCACAAGAACACACCACAGTGATTTGGTTCGGTAAAGCCTCAAGATTTCATCTTACCATTGTTTTTCAGAGTGCCTGGCAGAGCGCCCTGTATGTCTGTGTTGTAGGTGATGTTGGAGAGTTGTCGACAGGTCAGATCTTTGCGCAGTAGATCGATAGGCGACTGGTGGGTACCGCCACAGCATCGTGTGTTCTCGGAGATGTTCTTCCAGTAGAGGGGACCTTCAAACGACGCTAATCATTACCAAACAATTCTCCTAATGAATGTTTAATGTTATTGATTTCTCAACACTGAGGTCGACCTCCCCGTGACATTATCGAAGCGTACGTACAATATCGAAACATTATTTGAACTGTGGTGCGCTTGTATTTGTTCATATCAAAACTGTAAACGGCTTGTGCAGCGCTAGGAAGATAGGTCAGTTGGAGACAGAGAGCAGGAAATTGAAGTGGAGTATTCGAAAGCATCCGCAATTGCCTCGGTCGATATTCAACATGGCCGTGGTTCTTGCCAGTAATAGCAAGCTAGTCTCATTGGTAATCCTAATACAACATTCCTTTACAAACGGCACATGTACCAACCGAACATAATTTGAAATTCGGAATTTTCAAGCCATTACGTCTTTAATAACAAGCGTGTAGCTTACCGTTAAAGGCGTCATGATTATAGCTGAACGGATCTTTCGAGATCGCACACAGGAAGGGATAATCCTCATCCTTGGCTGGTGAAGATGGCAGGACAGCGATGCAGATAATGGCGATGATGATCCCGGCGATGACCAGGGCACCCAGCACAAACAATGCCTTCTTCACTCGCCCCGACATCCGTGGTTCCTTGGCCGCTGTGCGTGCTGGATCATCTGGCATTTGATAATAAGTGTTCATCATCAGCGAGCAGGGATGGATTCATCCTCGTGCGAGGGTTGCATATGGTCCACAGCCTTACTCCGCCCGATGACATTTATTATAGTAAATGCGTCTGTTATTGACTGGCGTGGGAGGAGGAGCGGGCTTCCGATCACGTGAATGGGTGCTATTGTCTTGTTACGTTTCATTGAGACCGTTTGAGGTGAGGTGCGATGAGAGACAATGAGAGTTTAATCGAGAATGCAAACACAAGGGAGTGGGTGAGGTGGAGGTGAAGATGGATGAGAGACAATGAGGGTTTAGTCGAGAATGTAAACACAAGGGAAGGGTGAGTCGGAGGTGTGGTTGGATGAGAGACAATGAGGGTTCAGTCGAGAATCTAAATATAAGGGAGGGGGTGAGGTGGTGTGAGGAGGTTGAGGTGAGGTGGGATGAGAGACAATGAGAGTTTAGTCGAGAATGCAAACACAAGGGAGTGGGTGAGATGGAGGTGAAGATGGATGAGAGACAATGAGGGTTTAGTCGAGAATGTAAACACAAGGGAGGGGGTGAGGTGGGATGAGAGGCAATGAGGGTTTAGTCGAGAATCTAAATACAAGGGAGGGGGTGAGGTGGTGTGAGGAGGTTGAGTTGAGGTGGGATGAGAGACAATGAGGGTTTAGTCGAGAATGTAAACACAAGGGAAGGGTGAGTCGGAGGTGTGGTTGGATGAGAGACAATGAGGGTTCAGTCGAGAATCTAAATATAAGGGAGGGGGTGAGGTGGTGTGAGGAGGTTGAGTTGAGGTGGGATGAGAGACAATGAGAGTTTAGTCGAGAATGCAAACACAAGGGAGGGGGTGAGGTGGAGGTGAAGATGGATGAGAGACAATGAGGGTTTGGTCGAGAATGTAAACACAAGGGTGGGGGTGAGGTGGGATGAGAGACAATGAGGGTTTGTTCGAGAATGTAAACACAAGGGAGGGGTGAGGTGGAGGTGAGGTGGGATGAGAGACAATGAGGGTGTAGTCGAGAATATAAACACAAGGGAGACAGGAGGGTGGAGGTGAGGCGGGATGAGAGACAATGAGGGTTTGGTCGAGAATCTAAACACAAGAGAGGGGGTGAGGTGGTGTGAGGAGGGGGTGAGAGGGGAGATGTCGAGGTATTAAGCTTTTCCCGAACTCGAGAAAGGGTGTTTTATCAGATTTATGAACCTAACAATAAAGATGAAATATGTTTGAATAGGCTGGGAAAGTGTGTCAAAAAGTAATACATGAATTGCTTGTCTTCCATACATAAGTTGGACTCAACCAGCGCAAAGTGACCACAGTCAACAAACCGTTCCTGCTATTTATCAACATGGAAGTAAATGGATAAAATGTTACAACTATGTTTTAACGATATTTTATAGCGATATGTGTTTGTTTGTTGTTTGATGCTGCACTCAGAAATAACTTAGGTATATGGTGGCGGTTTGTAAATAGTCGAGTCTGGGCCACACGTGCCAATGATTTACATCATGAGCATCGATCTACGCATTTGGGATACGATGACATGCTGTGCTGTTACAGCGTAACAGTTTTCCGACATGTTTGTTCCCTGGCTGTCGGAAATCTCCTGTGCATGAGTCAAAATTGTCCTTGCGTTATGGTAAGCGAGTGTGAGTGTGACTGTGAGCGTGAGTGAGTTAATGCTTTACGTCAAATCGGCAATATTTCAGCCATATCGTGACGAGAAATTTTACATTTTTAATACATATATTTTAACTAAATTAAAACCTGTCATCGATGGACAGTAAAATTACTAGAATATCACAGTTTATTATTTAAAACTAGCATACAACTATAAAAAGATATCACTATAAATAACGGTACAATATTATGGTAAGCGAGACGCAATAAGGAAAATTAGGTTTTGACCACTTGTGACACACCACAGTGTGAGTATTGGCAGTATTTTTATTATAGTATGGTTAAACTTGTTTAAACAGTTTAATTGGACTGTCATAGGATAATATGTCCTGAATTTGCTTTCACAAGCCATGTACTGTGACTAAGTTTTCGCGTGTTTTTTGAAATATGCTGACGCATTCAATTTATGTTGAAGATTTCCCGTATAATTTAGTGTCACATAAGGTTACATACAAAAGAATATTTTTTATGTTGTTTTAGTGTGTCTCTTAAATTTGTTTAAAGGCTTTGTGTTATTTTTGTTGTAAAGCAAACTACTGTAATTATGATATTATATGCTAGCGACCAGGTTAAGTAACCATTTGTGGTTGTATTTCCTACAGCCTTTTACCCTTTATGAGAACCTCCATCTACAGAATAAACACCTTTAAATCTGATGACACTTGTACCATCATTTCTTGAATGGAAGAGGTTCGGGGTTATCCGACTTGTAGCTCGCAGGGATGATGCAAGTACACATGCATTCACCAAGTCAGCGAGCTTGACCACCCGATCCTGTTAGTCGCCTCTTACGACAAGCATTGTCAAGCATGCTGAAGACCTCTTCTAACCCGGATTTTCCCGGGTTTGATATATTAGTGATTGCGTGTTGTGAGAAATTTCATAGATTGCGCAATAAGGGAAAATTACACAAAACTGAACACGTTCCAATCTTACACGTGCTAAGGGTCAAATTGATAACGCGGTTCGGACAGAGTCCAGTGTCATTATCTCTTGTTAAGCTGGTCAGATGGAGTTATGCTAACACATTTGATATGTTAACATCTTTATCCATATTTACCGCTTTGTCCATCTAAACTTAGGAAAAAACAGTACTACGTATACATACATTCGTGTAATTCAAGAAAATGGTTACCTTGTCTTCTACATACCTGTTCAAAGCGGTGTTAACCCAAACTCACTTACTTTTCACTGAGTGAGTTTGATTTTACGCCGCTTTTAGCGATATTCTAGCATTATCACGGAAGGGGACGCCAAAAATGGGCTTCACACATTGTACCAATGTCGGGAATCGAACCCGGGTCTTTGGCGTGACGAGCGAACGCTTTAGCCACCAGGCTACCCTACCGCCCCTCACTCTTTATACTGAACTTAAGTCGTAAACACCTTTATCCCAAATGCCTCGATCAAATTAAATGAGGTGACGAGCGGACACTTTAACCACTAAGCTACCCCACCTCCCCCGATCACACAGACGGACTGTCTCAGTTTCGCAAATGGCACTAACGTCAACGTCTAAACCTGGGCCCCTTTCCACAAGCGGTTGTAGCGCTATGATGAACGTAAGCTTGTGTTAAGTATGGGAGTTAAGATCACCTCAGCACTGAGATCTCTTTGTGGAACGGGGCCCTGTAGACCGGCAGCCCAGAGCACTTTGGTCAAACGAACAAGGTACCAATATCCGAACACAGGAACATTTACTGTGTAACCCAACATATTCATATATGGATGTCTGCCGGGGAGCCCCTGCTGCGTGTGGCCCCTGGCCCCCCAAAAGAAGGGGCCATTCAAGGGCTGGATCAAACATTGGAGGTACCACATGAAAGTAAGTGTAAATGAACTGTTACATCTCACAGAGTACAGAATGGGCCACGCCAGACAAATCTTCCTCTGCAAAAGGCCTGCCAGACACCCCCAAAGAGGGTCCCAAAATTTGGGCTGGGTTAAACATTGGAGGTACCACATGAAATCAACATAAAATGAACTATTTCACTCTACTAAGAATAAAAACCCCATTGCCAGACAAATCGTCTGCTGCATAAGGCCCGCCAGACACCCCCAAATGTTGACCCTTAATGCACTCAGTGGACACTCTGGTAAAATTTGACCAGAGTATACATTCAAAGTACCCGATGAAAGTAAGTTTAGATCAACAGGTACATGTTACTGAGTACAACACGGCCCATACCTGACAAATTGTCCTCTGCATAAGGTCCGCCAGACCCCCCAGAGAGGGTCCCAAAATTTGGGCTGGGTTAAACATTGGAGGTACCACACTGGGGGGTCGCGCCTTCAGATTATAACAATTGCAATACAAACCAGGGGGGTCCAAGAAACAGGTTCTCATGACCTGCAAGTATGATCATGTTAATTCTAGTTCAAGTGGGAAATCACGCCATTAAGATAATTACAATGCCAAGACAAACCAGGGTGTGTCAAAGGAAGGTTTCTCACGACCTTAATGTATGATCATGTTTATTCAGTTCAAAGTGTTTTATGATTTGATAAATGCTTCAAGTTATATTGTGATTATAACGTCAGTAGCACTATTATTAAGATTTCATATTTGCATTCAGAGGTTGGCAGAAAAGAAAAGGCTAGGTGTGGTTTGGAAACGGCTTTTCTTTTAACAAAAGAATTCACATTTGCTTGAAAACACAGCTCTTTGGTAACAATGATACAAAATTCAGTCAATCGTGACAGATCAACAATTGCTTGTTTAGAATTTTGTGTTGTGGAAAACACCCTGAATGGATCAGGTCAATGCAACCTTTCTTGGCATTTTACCGGGAGGTAAGAAAAGTTTTCCCGGGAAGCTTGATGTCTGTTTCTCGAGAGAAGTGACGTGCTCGTCACACACCTCAGAAAAAAAAAGTTAAATTTATTGTGTATGGCTTTCCATTCTTTATTGAGGGTATTAAAAAACAGATATATATATATATATATATATATATATATATATATATATATATATATATATATATATGTACACTAGGTCATCCTGGGATAAAAGTCTAAACACATTTAACCGTGGCACAGCTCACGCGCCAATATCATGACTCTCTGTCTAGTGTAAGACGTTTATTCAAACAGATAGATGGCAAATCTGAGACGTAAGGCCTTGTGAATATTTAGATATATAGTGGAGGTTTCATAACAGATATTTGAGTATTGAAATCAAAACCATGTCACATTATGAACATACATTTACATTTATTAACAAGAACAAAATCATAAAACATGATGGGTAATTACATTTCACATTTGGTGGTGCGATAGTTTTGACGAGGTGAATATCAGTAACGGACCTTCTCTTTTCAA